AACTTGTGTTACCAAATACATATTTGTATATAGAAAATAAAACAACGGACCATTAGTTTAGCCATGATAACTCGTGTTACCAGAAACGTATTTGTATATAGAAAATAAAACAACGGACCATTAGTTTAGCCATGATAACTTGTGTTACCAGAAACATATTGTACATTTTCGTATTTCTTGGGCAAGGGCATTGGAAAGCTTTCCTGTGAACTTTCCAACCTCACACTTTGTTCAAATCATCAGATACTTTAATTTTGAACTTTTTGAAGCAGTTAAATATTAAACGTACGTGTAAATTCTCGTGTTCTACTGTTTTCCATACTACGAGAAGGACATTTTTTCCAGATTAATATTTATTGGTGATAGTTTAATGGGCATACAGCATTAGTTAGTTGTTTTAATGATATACATCATACGTTCATTGTTTATTTCGAGTATGTTTAGTCGAAATTAGAATTTATTTTTTGTTACCTAGGTAACACACTTACAAGAACTACATTTCTGTTACCTAGGTAACACACTTACAAGAACTACATTTTTGTTACCTAGGTAACACACTTTCAAGAACTAAATTTCAGACGTAAGGTAAAGAATGTCCTCACCCTTGTCAACGGTTTTAAATATAATGTCACATTAATGAAATTCAGTTGATAGATTTATTAGCCACTTACTCATAGAAACGCTCGCGCTTCCATTTCCTTGAGAAATGTTATCTCTGTGTACTGTAAAGTAGGAGTATATAATATCCATCCCAATGTGTCACTATATTTGTCGTCCGCCCGGTGAGACAGCGGTAAGTCAATGCTAAAATTAGGGGTTAGCTTCACCTCCATAGCCCGATGTGGCTTTGTTATAAGAAACACACACGCTATAATTGTTGACAAGGTTATAAATAAGAGTATGTCCTGGACGTTATAGAAAAAGTTTTAGCTTGAGGTTGGCGTATCTGTCAAGTTATATCACACATATTGAAAAGGTTATCATAATAGAGGGATATTCTGGCAGAAGAATATATCTCGTTTTGTATTATATCCTTCAAGGTATAGCGCGTTTCATCTGAAACATCCGGGTACATAACATTTAGTGACAAAAATTATCTGTTTTAGTCTGTTTGTTTGTTTTGAATTTCGCGCAAAGCTACACGAGGGCTATCTGCGCTAGCCGTACCTAATTTAGTAGTGTAATACTAGAGGGAAGGCAGCTATTCATCACCACCCACCGCCAACTCTTGGGCTACTCTTTTACCAACGAATAGTGGGATTGACCGTCTCATTATAACGCCCCACGGCTGAAAGGGCGGGCTTGTTTGGTGGGATGGAGATTCGAACCCGTGACCCGCAGATTGCGAGTCGAGCTCCCTAACCACCTGGCCATGACGGGACGAGGTGTTTCTATTGAAGTTTTAGTATCAAGAAAGACTAAATATGATGTCATACATCTTAGAATGAGATTGAAAACAGATGAGAATGCACATCGCTATTCAGTCAAGTTCCCTCTTCTTCAAGAAATGTAATGAACAGTTTAACCGTGAGGATGAGCATTCTAATCTATTAGGCTGAAGATCAGGAACAATTACACCAGCATACAGAGGCACAAATGGTCGTAAATGTAGTCCCTGTGATTCTTTTCTTTCTCTGAATCTGAAGTTTGGTGTGCGGAAGGCCCACGTGTGTTAGGTTAAAAATATTCATGCAGTAGAGGGATGTAATGCATATACCATTCCAACTGTGAGATGTGACAACTACATTAAACTTGGATTAATGATCTTTTTCCTAGAAAAAGTAAGGTCACGATCTGACTGGCTGTGACTTTCAACCTTACATTGCTAATCGAATACGGACTTATCAGAGACTTAGATGACTTGGGTTTTTCAGTCCTGTAAATTTTCATAAAAAACCAGCACTCTCAAATTCTGTGTATCTCGATATCTAACCTGCGAGTGGGTTATCCAGTGCAACCTGGTCCTTAACATGCCTTCTCATCTGGTGGTCAACAGTGAGTATCATGACCTTGTCCAAGTGCTCATCACGTCACGCAAGTTCTTAAATCGCTTTAGTAAAAGGCCTGCTGCAGCGTGTCATGGTGACCATCACGGGGAGTATCTAAAAGCCTTTGATGGCGATCCTTAGAGGTCAACCGGGAGCATCTACTAACACACTTGATGGCGATCCTTAGAGGTCAACCGGGAGCATCTACTAACACACTTGATGGCAATCCTTAGAGGTCAACCTGGAGCACCTACTAAAACACTTGATGGCGCTCCTTAGAGGTCAACCTGGAGCACCTACTAAAACACTTGATGGCGCTTCTTAGAGGTCAACCTGGAGCACCTACTAACACACTTGATGGCGATCCTTAGAGGTCAACCGGGAGCACCAACTAACACACTGTCAGCTAATGGATCGAACCACTTTTGCCACCATGGAGTCAATGTCACGATCAGCTTTACCGACCACTTTGGGAACTCTAAAAGAGCCAGCGTTCTTGTTCAGTAGAAAATACTTGCACATATTAAAATGAATCTTTTCCTAATACATCCGTTTTATTTCTTTACTTCTTGTTGACTATATACTTGATCAGTCACGTTAGACTAAATGTTTACTTATTTGAAATACTTATGTGCCATACATTGGTATAGCAAGAAGGGTCCCAGATTAGTTAACTGCAAGTTTTGACTTTTCCATTCACTTTGGTATTATCTTAATTTCTGTCCAGTTGATCCTACTTCAAAGCAATCACTTTAGTACTAAGAATTCGCTTTGAAGCATGCCTGAAACTAATGGTAAGGTTAAAAGAGAGTAGGCATTACAGAGTTTTTTATCCAAAAAAACACCCAAAACTTTTACAGCTCCCATTCAAAGTGTTTGTATGAAAGTGTATACATTTTTATATATAAAACTGAAAAGAACTCTTACAAAACGGTAGATATTGAGCAGACATATCTATATTTCACTATGAAATAACTACGACCCACTTTCTTTTCATTATTTGTGATAGAACATGCTATTTTCGTGAACACATAACACAGAAGACTGACATGCTATTGGTAAGTTCATCTTTCCTAACTGATTGACATACTTGCTATTGGTAGGATCATCTATCCTAACTGATTGACTGACACGCTATTGGTAGGATCATTTATCCTAACTGATTGACTGACACGCTATTGGTAGGGAACTTCTCAACTATATAAAAGTGAATGTGGCAATATTTTATTTTGTGATGCTAAACGGCTGTTTTGACAGCAAGTTTTGATATATTTACATAAATCTCGAGAAAGTTATCTGAATCTTTATAACTTTGAGACAATTTCAATATCCCCAGAAACGCTCGAAGATTGATTTTCAGTGGTTGGTTTTAAAGCATGCCCGTTCATTTCGCCAACCTGTTTTTCCAAGCAACCGTTCGAAACGGGTTTCGGAGGTTTCGGCTGTGGAAGAATGAAACGTTCCAGCTTGGTAAAGGGAATTTCCAAAACAAGATGGGAAATAAATGCGAGTCCCATTGATATCACGAGGTAGACCAGGAACTTGCAGGCCTAAAAAAAAGAGAAATAAAAGTTACAAAAGAACACTAAATTTTGTGTTATTAAAAATCATTTTCGTTCGGAACAAAATGTTGTGATATCGTTAAGGTATAAACAGTTACTGCTACTTTCTTTGCTATTTATAGTTAAATTAGTTATTTGATGTATAATTGTTTGTTTGTTGTTAAGTAGAAAGATACACAATGAGCTATCTGCGCTGTACCCACTACGGGTAACGAAACCCAGTTTTTGTGTTATAAGCATTCAGACTAGGGGGCATGAATATAGCACATTTCTCAGTATTATTATATTATATCGAGTTTACTAAAATAAAAATGACGTATATAAGTAAACATACGACATTCATTTGCTCTAGAGATAAACAAACCATGTCTTAACTATTTGTTAACACTACTGTTTTTATCTATTCAGATAAAACGTAATATGAAACAACAACACTGAACATAAACCATAACATTAGTAGAATTAAACGTAATACTTTCTTAAATCAGGCAGTATAAAGTTAATTTTTGAAGTGAAGTAGATATATTTATTCAAATTTCAGTAATGAATATTCATATAAAAATATAATGCGGAAAATAAAACAAAGGTTCAAGGCGTAAGGAAAGCTTTTGCTAAAACAAAACCTACTTAAAAATCTGACCGAAATCAAATAAGAACAACAGTTTACATTGTGTTTCATCAGGTCAGATGACTCGATGGTTCGTACCGCTACCGAATGAATTTTTATATTACTTTAGGGAAGAAATTTTGCTATAGATGGCGCCCTTCATCCACAATGTCATATTTACACTTTTTTTTTTTTTTGTTTTGCCAACAGAAATTTTGTTATTTGTTATACTTTTGATCTTACAAGTATATACTACGTAAATAAATGAGTAAACATCATTTCATCAAACAGTTTTAAAATGTCCGAACGTGGCCTGGTGAATCCGAGTGTTCATGGTTCGCATCCTGTTGGCGCAAAAATGCGCTATGCACTTTGGAGTCGTACATACACTATGAGAGCGACGATTCAATTAAATTATTCGGTCCGACAAGGGGTGGCAATGGGTTCTGTTGATTTGGTGCCTTACCTCTAGTCTATAAGTTCAAAAGTATCAAAATTAGGGACAGGTTTGCGGGAAAACTATAAGAAATCAAAGAGAAATGACACAACTTAAAACCACAATTTTCAGATAATTTCAGTTGAACGTTTCATATTTGAATCAACTCAGCCAGAACGAAAAACATAATTTAAAAGCTTGGATTATAGGGGCGTAGTTAAGGTTCTTAGTTAATATCTTTGTTCTATTCTTTATCTTCTACATCCATAAAATGGATTAATTTGTCAAGACTTTTGATTTTCAAACGTGTTTCTGATGGGCATGGGCGCCCACAAAAATATTTTCAAGGGGGGCGGATCAGCTTTTACAGTGTAAGTCAACAGACTAAAAGACTATGTGTTATGTGTGATTAAACACAAACACAAATTTACAGTTTTAATAAAAAATACTAAAAATGTTTAGTTTAACTACGATGTTAACCTTACATCACAATACGTGCATTTTTTTGTGTGTGAAATGTAAGGGTGCAAATGCTCCCTCTTGCCCCTTTCAGCGGGCGCCCATAGCGATGGGAGAGGGAAAGTGTTGTTAATTAAAAAAGAAGGAACAGCACTTTTTTCAGTTTCTAGCTTTTTAACGTCCTTAATGTGTCCAATTGTTCTATTCACTTGTTTAATCAAGGCTTCACGAATTATGCGACTGGCCTCATTAACTGTGTTTCTCAAGTGTCCAATTGTTCTATTCACTTGTTTAATCAAGGCTTCACGAATTATGCGACTGGCCTCATTAACTGTGTTTCTCAAGTGTCCAATTGTTCTATTCACTTGTTTAATCAAGGCTTCACGAATTATGCGACTGGCCTCATTAACTGTGTTTCTCAATGCGAGTTGATTACAGATTTTGATTCGATTTAGGTTTGTAGGCCGATTTGGTTTAAACGGATCAGCGTTATCGATTTGACCTCTCTCCATTCTCACTTATAATTATTATTTGTATTTATTGACGTAACTTTCATTTTATCTCATTTGTTTTCTAACGGAAGAATCAGGAGATACTTGTTGAAGAGACAAGGTTTTTTAATAATAGGATTTCATACTCTCATCACTTCTGTCATATCATTGCTACACGCTTTTTAGCTCTTTTCTTTTTGAAGGTCTGGAATGGCCTGATGATTTGACCACTCGACTCACAATATGGGCCTTGGAGGACGTTAAAATGTTACGGCTAATCTCACCATTCGTTATTAAAAGAGTATCTCAAGAGTCGGCGGTGGGTGCTGTCGATTAGCTGGCTTTCTTCAAACAAACAAGCAATCTTCTGGATATTTGTGGCATCGAACGGATTCGAACCAAGGTCTCAAACTCAGAAACCCCCCCCACCCACACACACACATGTTTTAAGCTGTAAGTGGGTTATAAGAGCGACAGTCCATCCCTTAGCATATATGGTGAGCTATAGGGTGCTGTTGACTGGCTGCCTTCTCTCCATTAATTAACTACTTCAAAATTAGGGACGTTGCAGATAGTCTTAGTAGTTTTACCATAAATACAAAGCACAAATGCTTTTCGTTAATCCTTGGTGTGTAGAACAATCCGTGGTGAAGGATGGTTTATGAAACGGTAGTTTGAATAGAACAATCCGCGATGAAGGATGTTTATGAAACGTTAGTTTGAATAGAACAGTCCATATGAAGGATGGTTTATGAAACGTTAGTTTGAATAGAACAGTCCATATGAAGGATGGTTTATGAAACGTTAGTTTGAATAGAACAGTCCATATGAAGGATGGTTT